AAAATTTTTTTTAAATTTTTTAAAAAAACTCTAATATTTCAAAATTTCACCTATGTAACTGTCTTTAAAATTCCAATAAAAAAATTTTATACTAAAAGTTGCATATATTAATGCTTAAATAAAATCTTAGACCTTATCTTAACTCTAAAATAAATCAAAAGTTATTTTTTGTTTTATATACAAATTTGTAAATTAATTATAAAGGTGCATTGCAGTGCACTATGCACTAAATACTAAAATCTATAATTTAAAGTACTAAACAAATTATTATATAAAAAATACTTTAATTAACCCATAGTGATCATCACTACTTCTATTTTTAAAATTAGGATGCAGTTTAAGACAAAAGTAAGAATTAGATATAATAGTCTGAATTTTAGATTATACAAAGTTTTTAGAAGTTCTAACCATTTTTACTTAGTCTATCTGACTCTTGTTTCTTAGTGTGTTTTTTGAGATATAGCCTCTAGATATAATCATTATAGGTTATAATTAGTAATATTCTTATTATATAATTATATAATTAATTTTTTTAATTATTAAAAATTATTTATTATAAATAAATTTTTTAATTAGTTCAAAAAATTAGTTTATTAAAAATATTAAAAATAGAAATTAATAATAAGTTTTATAAAAACTAACTTATAAATTAATAAAAAATAATAAAAATATAAAAAAAATTTTAATATAAAATTAATTCTTAACATGTGTCTAGCAAAAGTATTAATAAAGTCAAAAAACCAAAAAGGCCACCTTAATATTAAAAAGAATTTAATTTTTAATATTAAATTCTTTTTAAACAAAAAAATATTTTTTTTCAAGAACATTAAAAAAATTAAATCTATATTTAACAAAAAATATTTGATAAAAAAATTAAAATAATATTATTTAAAATGATTCAAATTGATTATCTTGTTTAAATATTAATAATAAAAATTACAAAATTTTTAAAACAATATTTAAAAAAGAGAACTAATTTACTAAAATTAAAACTACAAATATATTATATTTACAAATTATAAAAAATTTAAAAAAGAAGTATAGTGACTTAGTAAAATGAATAAGTTGTCAATCTCTCAAGTAGTAGGTTAGAAGTTCAAAATCTACCAATAACATAAATTTAGAAAACCACCTATATATTATTGGTATTATAGTAAGTAAGTGATATTATGACAATGGCAATCTATTGATTAGTTGAGACAAAATATCTATAACTATGGTTATACTAGCATAACTGGCAAGTTATAGGATATTTGTACAATATTAAAGTTATACAAAAAAATACAAACTAGCATTAAGTAGTGCAAACTAAAATAAGTTTTTGTGACTATATAAATTCATAAAACTAGAAAGCTAGAGCCTATTTGGAAAAACCTAAGTAGAGAGATAGTATAGATCTTTGATGGTACTACTATAAAGACTAGACCTAAAAATAAATATCAATATAGAAGAAATCAGACAAGCAAGAATCTCAGTGAGGAGTACTACCAACTAGGCTACCAAAAATCTCAAACTAAAGAAAAAAGATCTTAAAAGACAAACTCTTGAAATATCAAAAACAGGTTACAGTTCTTTTAGGCTATCTGAATTGGAAGTCTAAGAACTAAAGCAGAATATAGCTAAGTACTAGGAATATGCTATGAAGTCAGTATTGGGATCTAGATGAATTTTACAAGAATGAGCTCTGTTAACAAAAATTAAATGTAAGTAGTTAGTTAACAAAAAGTCTCTTGAAGCTCTATAGTCAGATGACATATTCTAAAATATATAACAGCTTAATAGATATACAAACAGAAAAATTAGGATTAGGTTAGATGATACTTTGAGATACAAAAACTTGTACACTATTTGCTAATATAATAAAAGGGTTACTTTGTACAAGTTATATAATCATAATTGAGTTTACAATAAAGATATTAGCCATTAATAACTAATAATCTTAGCAAAAATAAATAAAAAAATAAAAAAATTTAAAGACTAAAGATGTGACAAGCTAGTAAAATAAACAAGTTGTCAACTTTAAGTAGCAAATTTAGTATTTAAATTTTATAAATAATAAATTTTGAAAATATATTTGTATTATAACAACTGTTTTATAATTAGTTAGATTGACATATCTGTAATATTTAGTTGTATTATTTTAAATAGAAGCTTAGAATATTTATATAAAATATAATATTATATATATATAAAGAAATATTAATAATTAGTTTAGGTTGCAAATAAAGTTGTCTAAGCTTTAATTCTTGTATATAGCTTTTATTTTGTATTTTACAATCTTAGTATATTTTTAATATACAGTATATTAATATATACAACTAAAATTACTAATAAAGATATGAGCAAGACCTCATCTTAATATCAAAAAAAAAAAAATTAATAACTAATGTTGTAGACTTTAATGCAAACTTATAATAAGACTATTAAATACAAAAAGTAAAGAAACCAAAAAGTTAAAAGCCTATTTAGAAATTCTAAATAAAAAAATAATACAAACTTTTAATAATACTGTTAAACTGATAAAAATTTATAAAACACCATCAAAAAAATAAACAGATAAACTGAACAACAGATATGTAAAAAAAGCATATTTACCAACTAGGCTGCTAGAATTATTAGAAAAAAATATATAAGTATATTATATCAGGCTATTTGAATTAATAGTCTAAGAAGTTTTGTCAGTTTTGAGTAGTAGTTAGTAGCAAATAATAAAGAAGATATTAAAAAAATAAGTATCAAAGTTTGTATAAACTTTACAAAAGTATAGCAGTTTAATGATTAGTTTTGACTACAAGTACTAATCTAGATCAAAGTAATACTAAGTTAGCTGTAAATATAGAATACAGAAAGCTTTAGTAAATTTTATACAAAATTAAAGATCCTCTATATAAGTAAACTGCTTTAAAGACTTTATAACTATAATATATCTTTATAAATATTAACTAATATTATTAGTAAAATAGATACATAGTGAATACAAAAACTAGAGTGTTTAAATTAAGAACTCACAGACAAGTTTTAGATATGCCAACTAGTATAGAACCTTTAGATGAAATACTTAAATTAGACAATAAATAAAGTTATACAAGTGGCTAGTTGTACATTCTTTTTATAATTGCTTCTGTAGTTGTTATACAAATAGCTATTAGCTAAAATATATTATTAATAAAATTCTAGATTACAAGTACTCTCTTTATATTAAAAAAAAAAAATTAAAAAACTATTTTGTTAAACAAAATTTAATTAACTTATTATTTTATTTGTTTGTTTTTTTTAAACAAATTGAACATAAAAATAAATATAAAATATAAAAACTTAGATATAAGCATAAACATAAGTATAAAACTTAGGCATGAACAGGAGGTGTGGTGACCTAATGAAGTGGATAGGTTGTTAACCCCCAAATGGTAGGTCTAGAGTTCAAATCCCAGTGATGGTGAAAATTTGCAATTCTTTCTGTATTACGGCTAATTGTCTTTCATGATTGGTTGAGATAGGATACCTGTAACCTGTATCATACTAGCTTGACTAGAAGGTCTAAACATTCATGCAACATTGTATGAAGAAATACAAACTGGTACCAGGTGGTATGAACTCAAGATAAGTCCTTAGGCTGTGTAAATCATAGGAACCAGGTAGGAGAATGGAAGCCTACTTGGAAGACCTGAGTAGAGAGATAACCCGAACTTTCGATAGTGCTTCTGTAAAGACTAGACCTATGAAACAGAGCTAGAACTTGTAAAACCAGGCAAAGAACCAACCTTTGAGGAGGGGCTGAATGGAACCAACCAGGCCATCAGAATTTTCGAGTTCCAAAGGAAAAGATTACATGTTAACAAACATGTAAACCAAAGGTGTATGGTTACGATCTGTCTTTCCAGGCTATCTGGTTTAAGAACTTGGTGAAACTTGAATTGAATACCAAACTAGTAGGGATATGTTGTGAAGTCAGTACCAGGGTTGAGGTGAACTCTACAAGGGCATAGCAGTTAAATGGTACACCCTGACTGCCAGTGTTGGTCTCAACTATAGCAATACCAGGTCAACTGTAAGAATGGGATACAGAAGATTCTGGAAGGTTTAGTACAAGGTCAAAGGTTCCCCATATAAGTGAACTACTTTAAAGACTTAGTGACCATGACATATTTGCACCGGTATTGACCGAGGCATCTTGGTAGGTGTAGGTAGGTGGATGGATACAGGAACAGAGTGATTAAATAGGGAACTTACAAGTAGGTTTCAGGTATGACAGCTAATGTAGAACCTTCAGGTGAACTACTTAAATTAGACAATGACTAAAGTTGTACGAGTGGCTAGTTGTACACTCTTTCCATGGTTGCCCCCTGTGGTTGTAATGCAACCATTAGCTGAATGTACTATCAATAAAATCCTGGGTCGCAAGTACTCACCTTAATATTTAAAAAAAAAAAAAACTTAGGCATGAACATGAGCATAAACATAAAATTTTGATACAGATCTAAAAATAAGTATAAAAACTTAATATAAGCATGAGTATGAGTATAATAAAAACATAATAATTTAATATTTAATATTTCTGTATTTTAGTACCTGAAACTTGTGTCTAACGCTTAATACCCATGTTTATAATAGTGCCTGGTACTTTATGCCTATGCCTATTATAGTGCCTGGCATTTTGCACCCAAGCCTATAGGAAATCTATCATTTTTGTGTTAATGAACATGGGCATGCTAATGCCTGGCATGGTGCCGATATGCCCAGCATGGACGTTTTTGCAGAGCCTTAGTGAAAATTAGTTATAATACTTTTAATTTTAATTAAAAATTTATGATAAGTTATGAAATGGTTAAAATTTATAATTTTATCCCGAGATTAAAATTAGTTAAAAAATCTTAAACGGATTATATATAAAATTAATTTTAAATTTTTACACAATTAATATTGATTTTATTTTATTAAATAAATTTTTAAGCAGATTGCAAATATTTTAAAATTATTATTTTATTATAATTTCTCTAATCCTACTTTTTTTCACCTTGCAAAGTCACAACAATTCTTCTTCCTGATGCAAATTCTCTGTGCTCCAATAACCAAATACTAAAATTTAGCAAGAATATGTTAATTTGATTAATTAGGTTTTTTTTTTTTTTAGTTTATGATATATCTTACATACCCTTGCCAGGTTCCTAAATTTAAAGTTCCATTCGTGATAGGAATATTTAAAGATGAGCCGATTATAGCATTTTTAAGATGACCAGGCTAAAAAAAAGGATTGGTGTAAAGCACATTTTTCTCGGATCTGATATTCTTATCACTGAATATAATCAAGTTTATACTTATCATACTTATAAAAAATATATATATATAATAACTATGCGTTTCTTACCATATCATCAGGACCTTCTGCTGTATGAATATAAGGCCACTTCTCAGGGACTAATTTATTTAATCCCATCTCCATGTCCACACGTACATCTGGGTCAGCATTTTCATTCAAGCAAAGTGATGCAGATGTATGTTGTACTTTTAAATATGTAAAAAATGTAAGAGTCACATAGTTAAAATAGTTGAAAATAAATTGAATGTTCGAACTTACAGAATATATTTGCCAACCCAATTTTATAATTTCGTATTTCAGGAACTTGACCCACAATTTCATTTGTAATTAAATGACAACCTCTGGCTTTTCTTTTTAAACTAATACTTGTTTGATACCACGACATTTTCTTTTCTGAAAGTTGAAGAGATACTAGTGTAAAATTGATGTTCTAACAATTGTTATACTTTTTTGTGGATTTTGATTGGCTATCAAATTGTAAGAATTACGTGTATCGAAGTTTAAATTGACGTTTAATTATCCACTATCAAAAAAAAAATCGAATTCTCGTGTAAACATGTCTTCAAACAATCCAGGGAGTTCCTCCTCATCGACTAATAATAAGCAGTCAACAGATAACACTGGTGGAGAAAGTAGTAAAACTCATCAACAAACAACAGCACAACCACAAAAAGTTTCTATACCACATCTTGGAGCTTTAGAAGAGGACGACGAATTTGAAGAATTCGCTGCAGAAGGTTAGATTTAGTGACCAAAAAAGTAGAATAGTATCTTAACTTAAATAAATATATTTTAAAATAAAAAACGCTTGAATGGACACGCGAATGACTTGGATCATAAGAATGCACAAAGCATTTTTCGATTATTGTCACAAAAAGCAAAATTCGATAAAATACGTTTAATATTCATAAGTTTTTTTCATGCTACGATCTATATATTGTCAATTATATAGACTGGAACGAAACCGAAGAAGATCAAGAAACTCATTTATGGGAGGATAATTGGGACGATGAAGATGTTGAAGATGACTTTTCAAAACAACTAAGGTATAGTATAGGATCACGCATTTAACTGATATCAATAATTTTCAGCTCGCTAAAGTTTTATATGTACATATATATTTAAAAAACTTAATCTTGCGAATATGGTGTTTATTAATTGGGTGAAAAAGAGCTGAAATTACAAAGTCCACCGCACCACAACCCATGAAGTTATAAAGAAAACGGACTCAGCTACAAAAACAATAAATGAAAAAAAGCTATAATTTTCAAAATAAATATTAAAAAATATCTTTTAAGTACCATAATTATTGTTTTTATTTATTTATTTTTTTTCAAGATACTATATTTTTGTTCGGTTATCTTTGTATTCTGGAAGTTTAAGTGGGACAGTCAACACTGCACGTTTTATTCCTTTTGCTTGTGAAATTTTAAGTCCTAGCGTCTCTATTTCTTGCTTATTTATAGGCATGATTTTACATCCAAGTGCTTTAAATAAATTATGAACCCTATTATAATTCGCAAAAAAAAGAATATATAAATCAAAGTAATTCAAGAGAATAAACATTAAATATTATGCCTACCTTCTAGTAGTTAAACCTAAATCACATGCTAATGGCTCCGGATCAATTCGAAAATCGTCAAGAATTAAACAAAGAGTAAACATATAACATAAAAGTTTTTCTTCAGCTTTTGGAGTCATCTTATATCTAAAATATAAAATGAATATACATTAATCAAATATATGTATGTATATAAAAGATTCAAAAAATAACAAACATCCTACTTTTTTCGTCCTCCTGATTTGGAATAGGTTGTCTCAGTAAATCGATCGTAAAGGTTCGTCAAAATGATATCCGGTAATTCTTTCATATTGATAACCATTTCTTGTCTATTATTAAGTACATCATAAGAAACGGATTTAAATGCCATCAAATAGTTGATATATAATAGCAAGCGTATACGTTTTAAATTGACATTTTTCGCGTCTAAAGATATAAAAAGACGGGAATTGACATATTTCGAGGACCTAAAAAAAATAACATGATCAAATATTATTTACAGATAGGATTATTTTCAGATAAAAAGAACAATTACCTGAATGGTAACAAACTCAATCTGAGAGATTCGTGTTTAGCGTTCAAAATAGAGTAAACAGGAATAGCATCAAATTCAGCAGGTGTCACGATATTATCCATATTATATACATCAGTAACTCTTGTTGCGCTGATATCATGTGGTGGTATTGGACGACTTGATTCCATATCAGCTTTTATCTTTTCTATAATAACATGAAAAAGGGAGAAATAAGTAAAGCTAATAAAATTAATTTATATAAATATGAAATAATCCACCTTTAGTTTTCATAATTTTTACATTTTCTTCAATATTTGAAACGATTTTTTCAATATTATGTACTTGTGATGCATCAATATTGCCTCTTTCACGTTCAAGTATCTTTGCTCTTGCTTTCTTTGAACCAAATTCTCTATCAAGATCCGTTTTCGCCGTAATATACTGGTAAGTTTATAGAATTATTTATATAAATAAATATTATAGATAGTATATAATAAACATAAAATTTTTATTTTAAAGGACTATAATAAAATAATTACGTCATGCCTAATCGAATCTTTAGGTTCATCCATTTTAATACGTTTTGGAATAGGAGCCAAATCAATTACAGGCACAGAACTAAATGTGACCTCGTTTGTTTTCTTATTATATATGGCAACTATATACCTACAAAGGATAAGTTTGACTTAATGTTATATTTACGTTAATAGAAAAAAGTTTGAAGAAAGCTTCAACATACTCAGAAGATTGATCCGTAGTAAAGTTGTTCGACTCGTATATTACTCTGGGATTCTCCCCCACGACCAAAGCTTGCCTACCATTTTCACTCTTGTAGACATGAAAACCTACCTCTTGAGGTGGAGGAACCCCCTGAAAAGAGGCTATAAAATTTACGTTGAATATTCAAAATCAATTAAATAAAACTTACGATTAAATAAATACCTCACCTAAGATAGGACCTTGATTATCAGGTTTTGTTTCTAAAATATCATTGCTTATACGTACTTCAAGAGAACGTTTACCCATTTTGAGAAAGAAAAAAAAAGTTTAGTATTTGATTATCACTCCTATGATCATCATCCAGATAGATAATATCACGTGCATTCGTCAAATTTATTACAGCATTGCATTTACGGCTACTATACAGCAGAGTCCTTGCATCTAAAATAACACAAATTAAACTCTGTAAAATTTTTTATTTTGTATTCTATAGACATGTAGAATTAAACCTCCCTAGTTACGTATCTGGTTGATTGATAACTAAACTAATATGCCGTATCGTCGCGAAATAACGTCTCGGGGCGTTATTTCGTGACGATGCGGTAATGTGCAAATTGCATTTTTATTTGATTCATTAAATATATGTATATATCTTTTTTACTAACACTATATCAATTAGATTTCATAATAAAAGCGAAAACTTTTAATTCAATTTTTGAAAACTATCATTAATAAAAAGTATTCATATTATGCACATTCCACGCCTTTCTATACATGATTGCCTAAATTACTTCTCTTAATAAATAATTGACATTTTGACAATCTTTTGAAATTAATTTTTCATTGTTGGTGAAATTAATTTTAATAAGTGGACAAATTATTTGAACTCCTTATATCAAAATACATTTAATAGTGTAATTATTTATGAGTTTATGGAAATGGCCAAATTTCTAGTGAAAAAAAGTTGGTTCTTTTTTCGAAAATAACATGCCCAAGTTTTTCAATTATGTTTAACCATCTTTTTCGTTGAGAAAAATAAACTTTATCAACTATAAATTAATTAAGAATATGTAAAAAATAAAATAAATGATAGTCCCTTTACTAATATAGCTTTTAATTCAATAGCGATAGCTTTTATCATTTGCAACTTAAACATCATTGGCATTTGAATCATATTCGTCCATACATAACGATAATCTTGGCTTATTTGAATAAGGAAACTAGTATAAATCAGCTTCATAAAGACTGGTGACAGACTGAATGATTTTTGGTTCTTGGTCCATACCGATCCAGTCCTGGTTCAAACAATGATCTTAGCTAATATGTATTGAGTTATTAGTACTGTTGCCAGGCAGTGCGACATAAAAAAATGACTAATTAATATGTAAAAAGAAATTGATAAATTAATAAAAATAAAATAAAATAACCGATAAGTATTCTTTCTAACAATAAATGATCCTAAAAATCTTTTACCCTCATTTTCTGAATATAAGTAATCCTTCAATTCATAAAGCCCTAGTTCCTAATCAAATAAGTGCTAATGTCCTAACCTCTAATCACAAATTGCTGATACTCCAATATTTAATAATAACATTAAAATAATATACTCGATAATTTGAAAACTAATGCATTCTTTTATTGTATTAAATATCTTTATTAAATTAGCTTTGCAAAAAAAAGTACTTTTCACATTAAAAGAAGTATAGTATATGATATATTTGTAAGGGTAATTCTGTGCCTAAACAATAGGCTTTAAAAAGAAATTTTACAATATAGAAAATTGCTTCATTAAATTTAGCTTTACAAAAAAAAAGTACATTTTACAATAATATTTAACATATGTAACCATTGCAAAATTTGGTTAACGATTTTCTCTCAAAATTTTACTAACAGAATGGTAGTGAAGCTGCCAAGAATAATAATTTTACTGCTGTATAGTTGACTGGTACGTTCGTATTATTGCTTAATGTCGGCATAGCTATTCCGACCCTAAATTTGGGTCGATCTGCTGGATTTTGGTTGCTCCCACTAATCTATCCATGAAACGAGTGAAACCTGCTTTGGGGCATTAATAAAAAATATCGGGGAGGCAATTTTACTATAAGACCTATTTTTACCCTAACCCAGTGTTGGGAATTGGACATGTCCAAAACTGTCCAAAATTGGCTAAATTAATTTAATGATTAATATAAAGTTTAATATTTATTATGTATCATAAAAATATTAAATAGTATATAGAATATTTGCCCAAAACCAATTAAGGTTTTGGACAGGTTTTGTATCTAATTAAAAAGTCAAAACATATGACCGTACACGGCTTTCGACGTATCCATGTTTAATTAATGGTCTATACCTAGGGATGGTAAAAAAAACGGTTTAAACAGTTTTTTAAAATTTTATTGAAACTGAAAATATTAATTAATTTTAATTGTCAGCCGAGAAATTTTTTTTGAAAAAAAAGACGGTGCATATAATTTCGAAATTATTATATGTAAAAAAACAACAATAATAAATGTCTTTTTTAATTAGTAAACTGAATCAACAGTCTTCTTCGCAATACTTACATTTTTGGCTAAGTGTTTTTCGATCATATTTATCAGGTTCAACAACGATTGTAAAGTTTAAACGGATTTCTTTTAAGAATATGAAAAGTTGAAGATTTTTTTTTTTGAACGTTAATACAGTAAAACCTCCATAAGTGCATGGTGCATGCTCTTGACCGAACTTTAATGATGTGCACCTAGAGAAAAGTGTATTTATGGGCCCAAATTTAAGTGTGCATTTAGAGGTGTGCACTTATGAAGGTTTAATTGTAATCATAAATACCTAATTATAATGTATAAAACATTTTTTAACAAATTTAAATCAAACATGATGTTTAAGATCACATTTTAAAACATTTGCAATCCCTATCTGTACCTTTGAAAGGTGAGTTTTCTTGGTAACGATAGTTATATATGATAAATTGATATGTATGAAATCTAATTATTTATATTAAATATGTGTACTCTAATAAGCGTATATATTAAAATTCTATGAAAGTTTATATTTGTATACAAGTAGACCTACAATGAATTAGACCCACATACGAACCATACATCACGAACTTTGAAGGACCATATGTTTACTTGATATCATATAGATTATAAAATTATACGTATAATTGTTTGATATAAATTTATGTAATTATTAAGTTACTTAACAATTTATATAAATTTATGTTGTTTGTTGTGTAGTATTGCTGAAGGTTGGTAGAATGCATAAATATTCATGAAAAATTATGTAAAGCCACATAAATTCATGTAGTAATTTCGTAGAAAAAGTTCGTGATGTAGAACATGTATACGGTCTTTTACAGTGCTATAAAAAACATTTACTAATCGATAACGATAGCGATAGTCGATTGATAATTAATTGTGGTATGATAAAAGCGACAATAATTCCAATTGTAATAGCAGTAATAGGTATAGGGGATATCGCGGCAGAATTCTTTGTGCCCCCGTTTGTAGGATTACCATCGCCATTGCCACTGCTACTGCTATTATTATTTACATACTTGGTAAAAGCAGGGTTTTGAGTACCGCCTGGAGAAGCAACTACATTTAAAAGTTTTAAACGTCTATCTTTTTTTACAATATTGTCACCATCATTATATGACATGACCATAGTAAAATAACCAGATGTAAAATCGAAACTTGACTTAATCTCTGAAACCACGGTCCATGTGTACACAGGGAAAGGTGTTGCTATTTCATAGGATGTTAAAGGAGCGTTGGCAATATCAATAAGTTTGATATTATTAAATTCATCATACAATGATAATGAGACTTGAGACGGCGGAGTCTTGTTATTAGGGTTTACAATAATGTTCATAGGCAATGATTCGCCGGCAGAATAAGAAATTTTCCAACATAAGTAAAAAAAGTCTAAGGCTTCAGGACTTGTTCTTTGTTGCGTGGAGTCTGGAATAAAAGGTGCACTAACATTACACGTATTCGTTACTGCGAAAGCGGCTGTTTAAACCAAAAGATAATTAGATCACAAATGTTTTTAAAGATTAAAAATAAATACTGTAACATATGTACCTTCAATTCCCAAAAAGTACACAAAAATCGGTAAAAATGACTTCATCATTCTAATTTCGTTTATCGAGAAGGGTATTGAATATATATATATATATATATAGGGTCTTTCAGTAGAAAAGGCCCGAATGCTATGTATGTATATTATATAGCATTTAGGCAAAGCCCTTATATAATAAAATGAATATCTATGATCGACAAATGATAGATGTACATCAAATGCAATATGAAACAAAGCGATTCTACATACAAGTATTCGTTCAAAGAATATTGCCGTATATTTTTTTCAATATTCTTAATCTATTGCAGCAAAACTAAACAATATATCGAGGAAAAAAAATCCAAATTTCTCTAAATTATGTTTCAATTGTGTATATATTTATAATAGTTGATTTAATAAATTATATACCAATACCAATACTTTTGGATGCTAGTCCGAAAAGACTAAGTCTAGAATGGCTATTTAATCGGCATTTGTTCACATGATTACACGCGTAATTAAAATTTAATAAAAAAAATTTCAAATCGTATGACTTTCTAGCAAATCGTTCTTGTTGATCAAAGTTCACGAATGAAATTTTTCATACATAAGCTAACTATTCTAGAAAATAGTTAAATACGTAAATATGTATGTATTAGCTTTTTTTAAATTTAGAAACTCTCATCCAATGAATTCATCAAATGTAACTTTTCGGTATGAATGAGCTGTCGGATTGTTGTATGTGAATTGTATGTGAATTGTCTGTGAATTGTCTGCGAATTGTCTGTGAATTAGCAATATTACCCAAACTATTTGGGGCGTTCCAAACTACAAAATGAATATTACTGATACTATTCATCTCATAGTTTGGTACGTCCCAAATAGTTTGGGTAACATTGCTACTGTGAATTTTTAGTGCCTACTAATTATGAATTTATTGTCGGTGAAGTAATGCGGATCCCTTAGAATGTATTCTAGAAATTATTCTGGATATAGGCTCTTGACCTATAATTATAAATAAATAAATTTGTTTTAGAGGTACGGACTATAATGTATATTGAGTGATGCCCTGTAAATCAGTCTTTTTACCTTTGAAATTTTGTTGGTCCAATTCTACATAATTAACTAATGATACCGAATTAAAGCATAATCCCGTATGTTTTTTAATTATCAAATATACTCTTTTTAACCTTTTAAAAGAGGTTGTAGTTCTGATTCTAATAATAGTAAAATTATTCGATTGGTTAAATGAAAAGATTAAAAGGTTTTTTTTTCTTTTGTAATATATATTTGCTTACTATATACTGTATATAAAGTCTTATATTATAATACAAGTTATATAAACAATACTCTACATGTTAGATATACTCTACTCTTAAAATAGTTATTACATGCTAACTAAAAATTGAGAAATAGATTTGTTATTTGCAAGATTAATTACTAATTATCCTATGTATATATAGCAATCATTGAAATAACAAGACTAAAATTCTTTAAAACATTAACGTTATTGTGCTTTTTATGATAGTACGTATTTTGCATATATAGAAGAGATAAGAAAGATGCTCATCTGACAGATCTACCTATAATAATTACCAACAAAATTATATAATTTTTAAAAGATTCATTATTCTAATACTAAACAAAAAAATAGCTTAATAAATATATGAAGGAGTTAATTTATCGCATGTTATACGTATAGATAATAGATAAATAGGTACACCTAAAGTGGGATTAAAACAGTATACTTGACCCTCGTTAATATCAATTTCATTAAACAATAAAATGGATCTCTATGTACCAAAATTACAGTTGTCCTCCATATAGTCACCTTCATATAATCACATCATATAAAATCACATTTATGTTTAGGCCAAACTATGATTTAGTTTATTAAAAAAAACCTCCATAAAAGTACAACTCCTTTATAAGCACATTATCAACATTTTACCGTGTGCCTAACTGTGTTTGTATGGGAGAACGACTGTATATTACAATTCTTCATATATATCAACTTTATTATGATCCCTTATTATTATCACTATCAGCATAAATATAAAAAGTCGAATGGATTGTTATTAGCGAATGTCAAGTGGGTCAAGTGTATTTATTATTGTAAATCCAACTTATTAATTATTAAAATATATATAATCCAGGATTCTATCACATTTGAGATTAAATAGTTAGCACAATTTATTTAAATTTAATGCAATCAGGTGGTCTTGAACAAAAAACGACACCTTTAATCTACAGTATAATTTGATATAGTTCAAAAAACTGTAAGCGTAATTTTTATCTTTTAAATAGAGTGTCCAGCTATTTCTAGCATCTAAGATAGAACTAACGATATTACGACAACCACATAACGATAACAAACTCAATTAGATTTGTTCTATTTTAATTCGATTATAAAATAAAATAAGAAAAATTTTATCGAATTTTAATTTGGCTATTTTCGTAATATCGCTAGTGCTATTTTAGATCTAAAAATAGCTGGACACTCTGTCTTCTAAACAAAGTTTTTCAGGTGTTGTTTCGTTTTTTTGCACGGTGAACGTTTACGTTTCATCGAGGCTGTAAATGATATTTCGGTGATGTTTATTAGTAAAACGTCACGTTTTCAAAATCCTTGACCAGGGCAATTTATTTATATCAGCCAATCAGAAGAATGATCCATGCTTGTGAGGCACCCCTTGAATGTGGGTTTCTGCAAGTGATACAAGCCCAAAAGGGAAATTTGTTGTTATTTCTCTAAAAGCACGTGAGATTTGACCAGCGTTAGTGCTAGGGTTAAAGGTTGGGTATAAAGAAGGTCATATAGTAAAATTTGGCCAGGAATTTTTTTATTAGAACGTAAAAAGTAATTTCCTAGGCAAAATTTTGAGTTACCGGCGATGTTTTGAAAAAGCCTTCGATCACACGTTACACGAGAATTACACCTGATTTTGCGATCTACATAGAAAATTACTTTTTTTGAACTTGTATCACTTGCAAAATGTTGTGGCGCAGATTTACTAAACTACGAATCAGATTTCAAAACTAGGTGCAATGTAATACAAACAAGAAATTTTTTTTTTTAACTTTAAGCAGTTATGCTAGTACTTTATTAAGATTCTTGAAACTATATACTTATATAATTATATAGAATTTCTCAATATCTAAGTCTAGTATCACTTAGTCACCTTAATGGTACCTAAATGTAACTTGTAGCATTATTTTAGTTAAAGATAGACTGCTCATCTAACTACAGAAAGGTAGCATATTATTGTGAACACTTTTTGAAAATTTATATTAAGCTAAATAAGCAAGGTATCAAGTCCAAAATTATATAAAAAATTGCCTAAATCTAAAGTTTTTAAATAAAAAAAAATCTATAAAATTCTATGCAATAGTTGTTGAAATAAATACTGTTACACAAAATTGTGTAATGTTACACTTGTATAAAAATAGTAATTGTACAAATTTGGTTAGATTAATTTTTTTATAAAATAACTTAATTTTTTATTAAGTAAACTAAATTTGATTATTAAGTAAAATTTGTTTAATGTAATAAATTACATATAA